TGTATTCCTCGACCCGATCGGGAGGCGACACGTCCGGATGGTACTTGCGGGCCAGCTGCTTGTACGCCTGCTTGATCTCGAGGAGGGTGCCGGACTCGGGTATGCCAAGCAGCTCGTAGAAGCTGGTCTCCAACCTTGCTTCATTGATTTTAGCTTTGATTTTCAACGACCCAATTGGGATACGCGAGGGGTTGCCAGGTCTAGGCAGGCGGAGGATGGAGTCCGTCCCAAAGAACCGAGTCTCGCTCGCCGGAATCGCCAATCCGCAGGCGCCACGCATCTCTCCGTCTCTCGTCTCCACGTCGTGTTTCTTTGTATCGAAAGTAGAGCTGTGGATGGAGAAGGAAGGTGGGCAATGAAAAGGAAAAGTGAATGGGAAGGGTAGGGCTTAATTTAACAAATGGCCTATTCACTATGTATGTTGGTCTGTTTACTTTTATTTTTATTTTTATTTTTTTGAACAGTTTTGTCATAGACGGTTCGAAATCTGTTCAAGGGGAGGAACGTGCACTTTTCAATGGCTTTAGTTATTGGATCACACGGATAAAGTGCTGTTTACTTTTATCTATTAATTAATTTTTTAAAAAAAATTTACATTAAAACTATCAAAATAATTAATTATAATTATTAAATATATAAATATAATGTAAATTTTAATTTTATAAAATTTATTATATAATTATTATTAAATATATGAAAATGTTAATATCAAAATGTTTCAATTTTTTTTATTTTTTATTCTTAAATGGTATATTAATTTTTTAAAATATATCAAATTCATCTATTAAAATTCCATATGTGAACCAACAGAAATCTGCGTTGATCCTTATGTTGTGCGTACCTAGCACCACGTAAGCACCATATCCTCAAACAAATTAACATTATCGGTTATTTAGACTTTTAATTAAATAATATTTAAATTAAAATAATTAAATAAATTTAATTCTGAATTTGAATAAATAAAAAGCATTAATTAATAAATCATTTATTAAATTAAGCCGAAAGCTTAGAGAGGAAATCCGTGCACCGAGGGATATTTGAGTAATTTCGGATCGGATGTGTACGTTCGTGGTATTACCAGTGAAAATGAGTGGGCCGTTTGGTTTTTTTTTTTTAATAATTTAAAGTTATTTACTGATATTAATGGAGAGAAACATAAATAAATTTTGTGAGATTCAAACATGTTATTTATTGAAGGTAAACAGTCTTAATCAAGGTCTATAGTCTTAATCAAGGTTCATGCTGCTGGAGTGAATCGAGCCATTCGTTTGGTATCTCATTTGGTGGTTCCAATAAAATAGAAAGAAATAAAAGTTGAAATTAACAAATGATACAGTAAGATTTGTAGTGTTGAGAAGGATATCCCAACAAAATGTGTTAATAATGGAAAGTTAGGTACGTACCAACACTTTGTGTACATATGGTTTTATCGTGTATTTAGAAAATGCAAAACTCTTCCTCAGACAATGATATTGATTTTTAATTAGTAGAATCATCTTTATGAATTACGATTTTAAATTTTATAAATTCTCTTTCTTTTTTTTTCTTTTTCCTTTTTTTTCAATTTTTATTTTTTTTCAAAAACCAAAACCAAAAACAAGAAAAAGAAAAACTCAATGTCAACCTAATTTGGCAGCTAGAATAGTAGTGTGATTATCATTATTAATTCTTTTGTTAAGGTAATTAAAATTATATTTAAATTAATTAATACTTATATTTTTTAACATATAGTTATAATATTTAAAAATATTAATTTATAAATTAATTTTAATTTATTAGATAATAATTATTAATTTTTAGTTATTTTTAATAATTATATTAATATTTTTAACGTAATTTTAATATCTTAATAAATAAATAAATTGATAAT